GGACAAACTACATTCAAATTCAAAGGTAAATTGTGAGAAGGAAATAGTTCGATTTGGATCAGCTAAGAGTTCTTATAATAACCATGTAGAATGTCAAACTACTGAATACTCTCAAATTGTCATAAAAGGAAACAGCAAGCAACCGCACTAAGGAATCGTTTAGCAAACAAGCATAGCAAATATACACAAGAAAATATATTGACACTTGTCATGAGTAAAGAAAGTGATAACATTTACCTATTTAGTTCTCCAAGTCAATCCTATAAGAAAAAATGATTTGTTTAATTTGCAAAACCTTACAATTTTCACATGATTTGTTCATCACCTTTAAATGCAACTTCCTTTTCCCATGTTCATGCAATCTTTTTAGACTGGAAGATGGAAAAAAAGCAAGCTACTTCAAACTGCAGCATGGTAGAAGTATACCTCCTTTTATTTCTTTTTCATTGTGTGAAGTGAACACATAATTTTTCAATACCAAAGAAGGAAAGCAGAACAGGAGATAGGAATAAACTCCAAAAAAGAACACAATATTATTAATTCAGCACACATGAAATGGAAAAAAAAAAGACTCCTATGGAGGAACGAAGCCAACCATTCTCCTAAAAAGGGAAAAAAAAAAAATCTAACTTCTCAAGCTATGTAGGCATCATTAACTACCCTTAAGAAATTGCTCTTAAAGATGCTGAAGGACTGCTTAAGTCAAAAACCATTAACCACTTCCAGTACGAGATATTAACCAAAAAAAATGAGATGAGCAATTTTATATTTCTGCAATATGACATCAGAATTTAGAACTTGTGCACCCTGTGAAAATTTGGCATGTGGACTAGAATATACAGTGAGCATCCAATCTAAAACCAATTGGCTTAGGTGGAGTGGCCCATTGTACCTTTAAGCAACACACGTTTTTTTTACATTTTAATGTGGGATTTTACTGCTAAATGGTCAACACACCCGGTTTAGCTCTCATGCCTGAAATAAAATTCCAGAAGAAACTAAACAAAAAGGATGCCAGGTGCATTTCTCTATCTAAAGCTATTCAATCAACAAGTTAGAGAAAAGCCAAAGAAAAAAGGTTGGAGAAAAGGAAATATGATTACAACTTGTCATCTTCCATCTTTACAGAATTTGCTACAGCTAGAGGAGGGTGGTACATACTATGATATCCCAGTATCAATTTGTGAAATATAAACTTCAAAAATGTTGGAGAACTTTATAAAGCAAAACACAAAACATCTTTGTATACCTCCAGATTGTGTATCCCAAAGAAAGGGAATCTAACTAAACAAACAGTTCCAGGATGGAGGAAAAACATGCTAGTTGAGAAGATCCAGATTTTCTGACATGTCTTACCTCTGGGCAAAGCACATTGACACGTATTCCTTGACGTTTGTATGAAGCTAGTGATCTAGTAAACAACACAACACCAGCTGATAAAAAAAATTTTAAAAAAAA